CAGGGCAGAAAGTTAACCAGGGAAAAACTAGAGTCTATTTTTCTCGTAATGTGGGGCACACTAAAGCAAGAGAGCTTAGTCATCATCTAGGATTCTCTCTTACTGCAGATCTTGGCCGATATTTGGGTATCCCCCTACATCACAAGAGGGTGGGCAGATCATCATTTTCCTATGTGTTGGATCGCCTTCATTCTAAAATGAGTACTTGGAGTCATGCCAGTTTGTCCCTTGCTGGTCGAGTAACATTATCCAAAGCAGTGTTGACTGCTATTCCATCCTACCCGATGCAGGTTAGTATATTTCCTCATTCCACTTGTGATGAGATTGATGCGAAGATCCGAAGCTTTGTTTGGGGTTCTTCTTCCACGACCAGGCATCCTCATCTTGTTGATTGGAATCAAGTTTGCTTGGATAAAAGTCATGGTGGGCTGGGATTGCGTAATATGAGAAAGATGAATTCGGCTTTTATCATTAAGGTTGGATTTAATCTTCTCACTTATCCTGATACTTTATGGTCCAGGGTTCTTCGTGCAAAGTATAAAGTTGAGGAAGGTATGACGCCCCATATTAATGCGCCAAACAACAGTTCTCGGTTGTGGAAGGGAATCAAGCGTCATTGGGACATTATCTTAGACCACAGTCGAGTCTTAATTGGTGATGGTAGATCCACTATGTTTTGGTTTGATAACTGGCTTCCTGAATGTGGCCCTCTGATTACCTATGCTCAATCTCATGTTTCTGATGCTGATCGATTGCATTATGTGACAGACTATGTGGATGTGTCGGGTTATTGGAAATGGGATTCTTTGCATCATCTGTTTCCTGCTTGCATCATCCAGCGGCTCATGAATTTTCTTCCCCCCTCTGATCAAGATGGTAAGGACCACATCATTTGGAGCAAGACATCAGATGGGATTTTCACTCTAAAGTCAGCTTATGATTTGGTAAATAACAACACAGCTACAGCTCTAGCTTATCAATGGGACAATATCTGGAGGTGGATGGGACCAGAACGAATACGTATGTTCCTTTGGTTGTTGGTTGGAGAAAAGTTGTTGACTAATAGTCGGAGGCTTCAACGTCACATGACCTCTTCGGGTGTTTGCCCTAGATGTAATATCTCTTGTGAAACTAATCTCCACGCTATCCGGGATTGCCCTCAGTCAAAAGAGGTTTGGAGGTTGGTGGTTCATCAAACCAGTTGGCAGGTATTCTTCTCGCTTAATCTGCATGACTGGATCTTCTCTAACTTAAAAAATTGTAGAAGCTTGGCAATGGACGATGATTGGCCTTTGACTTTTGGGATATTAGCGTGGAGCATTTGGAGGAGCAGAAACACTTGGGTTTTTGAAGGAAAAATCAATAATGCTTACACAATTGCCCACTCAGCCTTGGGGTATAGCAATTGTGTCAAGCATACAGCTACCACTCTCCATGCAGCAGGTCTTCAACCGAGAAAAAGTGTAGAGAAGATGATAGCTTGGTCTTGTCCTCCGTTAGGATGGGTTAAACTTAATGTTGATGGGGCTAGAGCTGGTAATGGGAACAGATCAGGATGTGGTGGTGTTATTCGTGACCCGTCCGGAGCTTGGATTATCGGTTTCTGCAAGAGTTTGGGGCCAGGTACTGTTTTGCATGCAGAATTATGGGCTTGTTTGGAAGGTTTGCGTTTAGCTTGGGAAAAAGGATTTAGAAAAGTGTGGCTGGAAGGAGATTCCCTCTCAGCCCAACAGATTATTTCTAATGGGTGTCGTCAGGATCACCCTTCGTCGAGCTTGGTGCAACGTATTAGAGGAATGTTGCAAAGATGCTGGCAGGTCCAGATTTCTCATGTCCATCGTGAAGGAAACAAAGTAGCTGATTTCTTAGCTTCACATGCGTATAGCTTTCCATGGGATGTGCAAGTCTTTGATGACCCTCCTCCTGGCTGTCTTCAAAGTTTATACAGCGACACTGTAGGTGTTCGCTGGGCTAGGTTCTGTACTTAAGCCTTTTTGCTGTGTTTTTCATTTCCTTTATCTTTCAAAAAAATAAAATAATAATTGACTAATTTGTTGTCAGAAATTTAGAGAAGACGAATAATCAATTATCTCATGCAGTAATCAATTATTCTCAATATTCAAAACTTTCTAACAACTAGTAATAGCTAGTTTTCATAGAATACCTTTTTCAAAACACTGGTAATAACTGTTTTATCACTTGGGTTGTGAATATAAGTGAAGTTTGAATTAATCCTTCTTTCACTGAAATCAAGTTTTGAACTCTTCATTATCGATTTCTCTCTATCTCTTCTATTCAAATCAAGTTTCGAGCTATTAATAATCAATATCTCTTTATCTCATTAATTCTTCAAGTTATAATCCATTTTTTCCAGAAAGAATATATATTTTTTATTTATGCTGCAAATGCTTTTAAGAGGGTTGATATTTGATATTCCTTCAAGTGAGATTACGGGTGAGGTATCCTTTTGATTGCGACGCTCAAACACTAAGGACCAGATGAACCAAGAAAAATTAAAGTTTGATTATCTATTTTATTTACTGTTTAATATCTAATGCATATGTTGTTTTACTCAGAGGTTTGATGTTTAATATCTAATGTATATCTAGAGCATTATCAACTAATTCAACTTATATTTAAGTAATTTATATTATTTATAATTATCTAATAAACACCTTTTTCGAATTTCAAGCCATAGTTGCTTTGATTATTAGTGCCTGGCTTGTTTTATTTTTAATTTCTCTTCTTCTTAGCATAAGTTTAATTAAATATATTTTTATAAAAGTTCTTATTATAAAAAGAGCTTTTTTATAATAAAAAAAATTAAAAACTAAAAGTTCCGAAGAATAGTGTTTTTTTAAAGATGTATGCAATTTTTTTTACTCCTCATATTTATTTTACAATTTTGCCTTTATTCTAAACTTGTATTTATAAATTTTAACTTTACCCTAATAATTCATTTTAAGAATAAATTATTGAGATAACTTTATTTTGACGCTTTGTGGTTACATTGTTTAGACCCATTGTAATTACAACATTTAATCACTTGTATCACATATACGCACCCTTACGGTCTTAATTATATATATGGGATTATGTTTCTCATTTTGTAGGAGATAATTTTATCTCCTACATACACATAAAAGTATGTGAAGCCCATATTTTTTGTCTCTCTCGTTTCTTCACATGACCCCACACACTTTTATGTGTGTGTAGAAGATAAAATTATCTCCTATAACATGAGAAATATTAAACTCTCTCTCTATATATATACATTGATAAGATCCTTTGATACCGATTTCAAATATCAAACTTAGAAGTTTGACACCAAATTCTACGGTTGACTTCCGCCAATCGACGGTTATAATTTATTGAGAATAACTAAATAATTAATAAGTTTGACCCAATAAATTATAACCATCAGATTGGCATAAATCAACACTCAGAATTTGGTGTCAAAGGATTATAAATGTATCATATAGTGTTCAATTCATGATAAAAAAATAGAAAAATATTTCTGCATTTACTGCAGATAAGTTATCTGTATTTACTTCTAAAACGACTTCGTTTTGGGATTGAAATATTAAAAAATTATAATTATAAAGACTATAATAACCCTGAAATCAATTAAAATTATAAAAACACCATGATTTCCGCCCCAAAACAATGTCGTATTGGGTTTACTGTATCTGCAGTAACTGCAGAAAAAGTGAACTCTAAAAATAAATATATTTTTTTGGTAATCATAAAAATAAATTATTTATTTATTTTATTTGAATTAAATTCATTAGATGATGCGCATTTATTTTTATTGTAAAATAATATAAAAGTCAAATATCATTATTTATTTACTTATTTTATATTGTCATAATATTTTTAAAAAATTAAAATAAATAATTTTTTTAGTAATCAAATAAATAAATAATTTATTTAACTAATACATCTTTAATTTATCTTGAATAATATTCTTAATTTTAAATATATATTTTTGGCTAATTAAAAAAATCATCTTAAATTTTTAAAATAAATGACTTTAATTTTTTTAATTTAATCGTTAATAATTAATTTTATTAAAAGATTATTTGATAATATTAGAATTATATAAAATAAAAGTTAGAAAAAATAAAGAATTTTTATATTTATAAGACTATCGGGTTCTATCCAACAACAACAACAAAATCATCAGGATCTAAATGATATATTTTTATTATCACAATGGGTGTAAGTAAAAGTTTAAAATTACAAGGAGTTAAATGATAAACTTATTTAATCACAATGAGTATAAATGATAAGTTTGAAATTACAAGGGATTAAGTAAAATATCATTAAATCACAAAAGGTGAAAATAAAGTTTTTCTTAAATTATTTTATTTTTCTTCCTTCAAAATTATCAGAACATGTTATATAATCACGGAACAATTTTTAACTGTTTTTTAAACTCTCTTTTTTAACTTTAGCTTAAAAAAAAAAAAAAAAGTTACCCTTGCCGTATGTGATGCGTAGAGAAAATCTCCTATAAATCTAACATGGAACATAATATCCATTTGATTGTTCTCCATAACATGTGCATAAAATCATTATTCACTTTAGCAGTAGTTTCATGTTCTATACTATGAAGCCAGATGTAGCCATGAGTCATGGCAAAAGTAAATATATAAAAAAAAAAAATCATTATAATCTGTTCTCATTTAGTACACCAAAAACCCTAGCACTAGGCTAGCTGTCATGAAGTACTCTTGTGAAGGACAACCTTAGCTGAATTTTTAGCCTTCACGCCAGACAACTGAGCATGAAGGAATAAGTAAATTCCCTGCAAGCAAAAGTTGATCGGATTGACAAACGCCTCAGAAAGGGAGGAACAGAGCGGTTAAAAGAATTACATAGGGGAAAACTTAAATCTCTGCCATCGAATAAAGTTGTAAAATTTCTAATACTATTTGGAAAGCCAGTCCATCAATCAAATCCATAAGCAAATTCTGAAATTCTGACAAGGCAGCAACGAAACATGAGTGGAACCTGAGAGAGAGAGAGAGAGGGAGAGAGAGGGGAGGGAAGACATGCTTGAGACAAAATGATTCTATTCTTCCATTCCAATACTCAATGTACAAATCCTGAATGGCGTGAGAAATGTTCCCAATGCAAAAAAATTGCAACAAGATAAGTTTACACTTTTTTTTTTCACAAGGTACGAAATTGGGATTGTCACCATGCAGAAAAATCTTTAAATTCACTACTGGCAACTTCCACTTTTCTTTTCTTTCCTACAACGGCAGTACCGGTGTGAACAGTATCAGATTCAGCTGGAGCATTCCTAGCTTTCAAGTACTTCCCAACACCACCGCCAACCCCCGTACCTCCAGATTCAGAAATTCCAGCGCCAGGATTGCTATACCATGAGCCAACCTTATCCTGAAAGGTAAGCCAAAAAACAAAAATCTACAGAATTAGTTAAAAAAAACCTTACATAAGTGAAAAAAGAAAGAGTAAGAGTTATCTCAAAGAATATTGAACAAACATTATCTTCATCATTCTTCTCTTTGGCATTATCCTGCTCTTCTTCCTCATCTGGTTCAGTGTAAGGATTGACAAAAATCGTGACACTTGTTATCTTGATTTCTTCCTGCAACACAAAATATATAGAACATAATGCATTGTTTGAAGTGGCAGCAGCATAGCACGCTTGATAATGGATAATGGATCAATCAGAAGGCATCAAATGCCCCAGCAAGCATTGTTATTTAATATATCAACTCTTCAAACCAGTGAAAACTTGCCTCCATTTAACAAACAAGCTCTTGAGGCACAATGAGACACAAAAAGCATGAGTTATACATTGATATTAGTACCCACATTGAAAATTTATGCATGAAACTAAAAGCCCAAACTAGCTCGACAGATGCAAAGGTAAAGAACATATTTATGCAAAAGATAACAAAATATGCATAACGCAGAAGAATCTACTTTTTCTAAAGCAGATCCATGTTTAATGATCATATGTTTGTAATTACCCAGGTTGAATCTTTATGCATTTGAGAAGAATTAAGCTAAAAAAAGGGGAGACAATCTATTGCATCAACAGTCAAAAGAATAAATGACTCACAAGAGGTCGGTCATCATCATCAACTGGAACCTTTTCCATTGCTGCTAGTGTAGTCAAGCCACCGACAACTCCTCCAAAAACTGTATGTTTGAAGTTTAAATGATTTGCAGACTTGTACAGGATGAAAAACTGGGAACCATTAGTGTGTGGGCCACTGTTTGCCATGCTAACCACACCCCTTCCAGAGTGAATTAATTTGGAGTTAAGTTCATCTTTGAAAGGCTTTCCCCATATTGATTCACCTCCTTTACCAGTACCAGTCGGATCACCGCCTTGAATCATAAAATTCCTGCATAAAATGGATAATACGACATCATAAATGTGAGGTTTAATTTACTCCAGGGTGAAAGACTTTCTCCCTGGTATAAATACACAATTTTCACAAAAGGTTGTCATCATATACCTAATGTTTCTATGAAAAGAAACCCCATTATAATATCCACGTTCACAAAGCGTGATAAAATTCTCACATGTCCTGGGTGTTATATCACAATGCAGCTCAATGTTCAGATCACCGTGTGTTGTACGCAGTTGTACATATCCCTTCTTCTTTGGATTCTTCTCAACTTTCACATATTCAAATTCATTTTTTGTAACTGGATCAAATGATGTTGAAGTGAAAGACCGGGAAGCAGCACCAGTAGTAAAACGGCTTTTCACCTGAAATAGGGGACTTCATTAGAAGTTGATAATACATAGAATAGTGATTAATGGCCCTCTGTTCATATAGTACATAGAAAGGATGATTTAATTATGCATGGGAGCTCCCAATATATATTACTTGGTTAAAAAGAGGTTACTACTAGGAAACTCACCATCTTTGCATTCACTGGCGCCCTGTCACCAGCTACGTGCATAGCTATTCTAGCAGCAGTTTTATCACCTGATGAGGCTTTAGCAGCGGCTGCACTTCTCCCATGTACTGAAGCAGATGCAGCATCTACAATACTAAATGCCTGAGGAGCTTTGACCTCTCCATTTTGATTTGATTTGGAATCTTCTTTAACAAGTGACCTTGCAGCTAAGATGGCAGCAAGTGCAGCAGCCCTTTCTTTTTGTGCCTTGCCACCACCTCCCCCATGCATCGCAGTTTCCTTTCCTTTCTCAGTTCCAAGCTCCTGAAGCATTTGCTTGATATCTCCCGACATGTTTATGTTATAGGTTGGATCTGAACCCATTCTCTGTAGTTCTGAGAACAGAAAACTGAATGTGTCATAACTAATACTAATAACAACAACAAAAGCAGCAACATCAAGACCAACAAGAGATTTATAGCTGACAAAAGATGGAGGAGCTGCAGGCTGTAGCATACCTTCATCATCAACTTTCAAACTATTTTTAACATGATCAAAATCCAAAAGAACCTTGCTGTCAAGTGCATTAGGATTCTGCAAAGAGTACATGCACAAACGTCAACATGATATAAAGCAAGCCAATAAAAGATAAAGGAATGAAGAAAATGTTCTCATTCAAAGCCAACTTACCTGAATTGTTATAAGGTCATCCTTGGTGAATGCCTCATCAGTGAGGAGCTCTTTCCAGTTTTTCGTCTTGATGTTTAATTCTTTAACGGCCTATTTTCCAATAACATATATAAATATAAATACCATCAACACAAGTAAATTAGCATTATTAACACTAAGGATCCAGGAACAAACCTCATAGCAGAACACATTTCCTGTGGTCTTCACAGCCACAATATGTGTAAATTCAGTGAAAACTTTGTTTAGCACTGGACAATGATATTCTCCTGCAGAACATCAAAGAAAGGTTAGTCAATACAAAATGGCTAGTACGCTGGATATATAGAAAACACATGCAGGAAAACCAAAAATGCTAAACCCACCCCCACCCCTTCCCCAAACAATTGAAGAAACTGTATGTAACATAAGAGAACATTGGTTTGAATTTGAACAACGACATGGCTCCACAAGAAAAATATCTACGTAATTTCAGAGAACAAAAAAGTGTGCTTGAACTTTCAATTAATTTCCATTAATGATATATATCTTGTGTAGAAAGTGTGACCTGAAACAAATCCCAGACTTTTGTTATAAACTACATCTTCATAGCTGTACAACAATGCACAATCCTCACAAATATTTATTTCAATCTTCTGACCTTCTGAAACTCCATTGTGTCACAATCAATGCGAGAATAACTAGGCTAGTGAATAATGCTATGGTACCAATAAAGTGACCATAAAATAACAGGTGCACAGCACACCATAGCATTTCCATTTGACACCATGCCAATTGAAAGGCAGAGATATCTCCATTCAAAATGTTGAGGCTTGGAAAACTGAAAGGGTCCAAAACCTACAAATAATCCTCTGCTACGATTGAAGTTAGTAATAGAAAAGTGGCTTCAATTTTCTTCCTTTCTTTTTGGGTGGGTTTCAGGGTGTGACATGTTAGCAAAAGGTATCCTCTGTTTCTCTCCTGATAATACCATCATTTTCTATTCCACAAAAACCTAGGAACCAGAAGTGTTACCGCATTTGGCAAATCTGATGTGGTCTTTTAGAGTGCATGCCTGTTACTAGTGTAAACACTATTTTCATGAAAAATAAGGTAGCATACCCAAACTAATGCAACATTCACTACCCTCTTCCTGCATTAAATTTCATATCTCTTCATCAATGTTACAACAGTATAAGCAATGAAAATCATTCTGAAGAGAAATTAGGGGAAAGATTACCTAGATATTAGTTCAACACACACACACACACAAAAGAACTATGCAAAAATATGAGAAAAACCTTCCATGTAACACAGAATAAGGTCCCTGAGTTCTTTCATTCCATGACAATGTCATTTAATTACATTTGCACATCAACTCCACAAAGTGAAAGAAATAGTTCAAAAGTAAGCCTATTGAATTCACAGTATCACACAGTTAGGTTTATTTACATTGTTTACAAGCAATAATAGCCTAAAATGCAGAGCAGCCAGTTTATCAAGTATCCCCTATATCAGCTCCTCATGAAAACCTACCAAACTAAATAACTAACTACGTCATTACCAAGACTTGACCTAAGAATATTCGGGGTAAAACATTTGAAAAAAGCAACAGTTTTTTCAATGCAACCAAAATTTTTCCTTCATCCACAAACAGAACAGGAGATACTACTGGTGACAGAACCGTTTTGGCCAATGTTACAAGATACAGATACAATTTTTAAGCTTCTAATAATAACAAAATGATTAGGAAAAAAATTCATTCATATTTTAAGGCAGACACCTCTCCAATAGTACAATCAAGTAAATGAAAAATCTCAATGATTATTCAATGTCAACTAATCAAATTTATATTCGGGGACATGCAAGGATTTAAATTAGAGGAGACTACACATGGCGGCAGAGTCTCGTACCAAGAATTAGAAGTGAAGCTAATCAACTAAATCTCAATCCAAAGATTAATTTACAACTGTCAATAAAACTTCCCAATGAAATGAAGCAACAAACTTGAAAGAACAATTTTATTGCAAAAAAGTAAAACCTTCTGAATTCTTGTGGAAATTTAGTGCAATGAGATCCTGCTGCTTAAGGGGAGCTCCAGTGACAGGATGTTTACCATATTTTATAATATAAGGGGTTATGTTCCTGCAGCCAAATTGAAAAGCCAATCTATCAAATAATTGGCAATAAAAGAGGAAAGAAAAAAAAAAGGTAATACTTCAAAATATAAAGTAAATGAGAAAACTTATAACCGTGACTAAATGGATCACAAAGATACTGACATAACATCGAAAACACTGCCATCAGCTGTGCAAACCGGGAACTCAAACGGCGTAAATGTAAGCCTGAATCAAAAAAATAAAAAAAGAATGAAAATTAGAGTGAAAGGAGAAAGCTAAGAGTGAGTTATTAGGATTGAAAGGACATACGCGCAGCAATAGAAAGGAAGACGTTTGAAAGGAGTGCGATTTTCTTTGGATTTGGCTCCTCCCCATTCCGTTGCCCACTCAGTTTTAGTGATGAACATCCTATCCTTGCTGTGTTGCTTCTTCCCCATTGTTAGGGTTCTTCTTAATCACCACCTAGTTGCTTTCTTTAAGCTCCACACACCAAATCTATAAGATTGTGCTTCTGAGAGAGACCAAGCGACTCCAAATTTGTTTATGCTATTCTCGCCTCTGCACAACCGCCTTTCACAGATTCCGCCACTCACAAAACACCGCCGTGCGACGTTCCTGGGCCAGGTTATTTTGGGTCTTTGATTTTTTATTTTATTTTTTAAGAAAAAAGCATTTTCAATTTTTTATTTAATTTTGAAGAAGCTTATGCTTATCATCATTTTATTTGAATTCAAAATAAATTAATTATTGTTGATTTTAAATTAATCTAACCATAATTAAAAAGGCAACAAAAATGTTAAGTCTAAAATGGTGATAAATATAATAATTTCCATTGAATTTAAAGCTAAATTTAATTATAAATTTTTTTATTCTCTAATTATATTTGACTTTAAATATTTTTTAAGCTTTGTTTTATAATTATAATCTACTTCAAATATCTATTATTATCATTTATATTTTATTTCATAAGCACATAAAGCTAGTCAATACGCTAATAATGATAAATATTAATTTTAAAATATTTGCACCACAATTATCTAATCATGTGTTATTATATTTTTAAAAGAATTTAATTATGATAATTATTTGAAGGCCTAACTCTTAATAATGTAAGCATTATTGAATGATAATTAAAATAAATTATATCAATATTACGAATCACAATTGAACTTAATTTCTTGTTTTTATATAAATATTATACTTACTATATTATCATCTAATTATACATTATCACTTTATTTAGATTGATATCTTTGTTGGAAATAATAAGTATGAGTTGTAAAGAAGTACCACATAGACTAGACATAGACCAAGTGATGACCATATAAGTGTGAAAGACCCATAAACCTACAGCCTTAAAGTTTTGGGTTGAGATGTGGTGTCGGCCCACTTATTATGGTTTATCGCTGGACCCATGGATGTATCCCTTGCAATGGATTTTGGGCTCCCCCATACCATTCTTAACAGTGGTATCAGAGCTAAAGATTTTGGAAGGCCTCTGCAGAAGGCTAGTGTGACCCTAATATTTGAAAGAGAAAAAAAAGACTTCTGCAGAAGTTGCCCTTAGGGGATTTAGCCGATGGGTCTTACACCATGACCTCGCCTACTTTTTTTTTATATATAAAGTAATTTTTGAGCCCTCAACAAAAATTATAGACCTATTTTTTTTTTTTGGTAAACAATTATGGACCTATTTTAATTCTTAAAAAAAAAATCAACTTCTGGTCCCTATAAAATTTAAAATAAACTCAATTATTTAAAATTATGATTCCTCTAAAATTAAAAGAAGACCCTCGTAAATTCTTCGAAAATGACTAAAATGAGTCTATTTTAAATTTTAGAAGATCAGGAATCTGTTTTTTTTTTTAAGAAATTAAATTGGATCCCATAATATTTGTTGAGCACTCAAAATGTATCTTAGTCAACTTTTTTTCTTTTTCTTTTTTTAACGTCTAGAATGTCTCCGGAGAGAAAAATCTACAAAGTTACGGTAGTCCCTAGATGGACCAATAGGACTACGACAATTAGGCTGAAAAGTTTACAAGTAGATAGAAAAAAAATAATTTTAATATTATAATTATACACCATTTCAAATACATAATTATAAGTGTGACGGTGATACTTGAAAATGCGCTCGTGGGAGGCGACTTAGCAGCACTTTTAATAAAATGGCCAACATAATAAAACCCATTTCTTTAAAAATTGATGTTTAAGACTATGTTACACTTTTCCCAAGTTTTACTGATTTTTATTTGGTTTTAATGTTTCTAAAGTAAATATAGATAAGTTATTTATGTTTGTTCTCAAAACGATGTCGATTTGAGTTGAAAAATTAAAAAATTATAATTAGAAAGACTATTATAACCCTGAAATAAATTATAATTACAAAAATATCTTGATTTCTATCTTAAAATAACATCGTTTTAGGTTCAATATAGATAAATTATTTACATTAATTGTGAAAAAAGCGAACCTTTTTTATTTATGGGAAAATGATTTGTCTTTGTAAAATATATAATTTATATTTTTTAATAATTTATAATTATGTACAAAGAATAATATATAATTATAATATTAAAGTTAGTAGTTTTTTTTCTTCAGCGCTTTTGCTTGAACATGGGCTGTAATGCTAATGGAGCATACGTTTGAGCTCCATAAAAATTCGAAAGATGTAATGCGAGACGTCAAAGATGAAAGATGGGATCGTGAAAACAAAATGAGGACGGCGACTGGTTAGCATTACCATATATGATATAACTTGGTAAACAATTTGCCAACACCAATTTCTTTTATTTCAGGATAAAGTAAGGATGTGGTCTCGATATAATAGAACAGACAGTTGCTTGATTTTTTTTAAGCCCGCTAACATTTGTTGGCTTTGGATAATCATTTACAGATCATCTAATACTATCTGAAAACTCTATATCCCTTTCACCAAGGGCCTTAACCTTAAGTAAGCAAGCAGAATGTTGAGGATAAGGACTCCCAGACCTAGTATTAACAGTTACTAGTTGCGGATTACGGCTTTCGCAGCAGGAAGATGTCACGTAGGATAGCAAACAAATCTTCACAGACACTACATATTGTACTACAAACATCTTTTTGCTAAAAGATACCGATCATATATACTAAATTTATTACTTCCTCTTTCCTATACCATAATACCAATCAAAACCAACTCCTTCCTCATGGTACCACCTCACTTATTTCCATCTATATAATTAAGCTTTAATAGCTCTCGTGTTGCTGCAGATCAGAAAATTTGCAGCACCATTTACTTTCATCAGGATCCGGATTCGTATCTAAGATTTTTATTTATTTTTTTTAATTTCAGGATCCGGCTCCGTGTCTTATGTAAATATATTTGCTGCAAGTTTTTTCATCAGCAGTGACAGCAGAAATGAGGAACCCATATAATTAAGTCGTAAATACAGTGTGGCTGTAACGAGCAATTTTTTATATGCCTTGCTACTAGATTGAAGCAGATGCATAGGATACAATGATTTCCTCGCTGCTGGAAGCAGCAGTTCTTTATGTGCCTCAGACTGTTATATACAATATACCAACAACAAACAAGAAAGCAAGGACCCGTTCAAGCAAGGTCAGGCCCGCAGGTATCCATTCTTCTCCAAGTAGGATATCACTATTTCTGCGGTGTCACTTGGAGACATACAATCACTTACTTTTTGCTGTAATACTATCTGCAAGAGGATGAGAAAGTAAAGTCAAATTAACGAAAGTTCGGAAAAGTTTCAAAGGAAAAGCAGAGGCTGGATTACTCTGACATCTTGTTTATAAGGTCAATTTTTCCCTTCAAAGTTGAATCCAGGGCAAAGAGAACTAAAACTAAAATATTCTCATCGTAAGCCCAGTATGGTATATATTTGTTCTATGTTCCTCTAAAACAACACTAGCATTTGTACAACACAATAAATACGCACCTCACAACTACATGGTGGTTCATATGGATCATCTACGCCTGTGAAACCTGCAGATTTCCAAATAGATAATTTAACACTGATGCACGATTCGACCAGCAGTTAGTGAGAAATAAGCATAATTTATATAGCTAAACTGCTGAAGCTAAAGTACTTAAATAACAACTCCAACACAAACATAACTGTTAAGTTGTTGCACATAATACCAAGAAGACACCTATTAGATACAAAGCAGTAATGCAATAAAAACAAATAAGATACCTTTGATCTTTCCGGCTCGAGCAAGCTTGTAGAGTCCCTTTGGGTCCCTTGCTTCACATAAGTCTAGTGGCACGTCTATGAAAACCTGCTACACGTGTTGGTTGAGGGTTGTAAACATTGCATTGACAATGAAGAAATCTTGTCTTCAATTATCTTAGAATTCCCTATTATTAGCACTTAGAAGATGCCAAACCAATTGCATAATTTGGTTTACCAAAATAAGAATGTACCTCGATAAAATCTCCTTCTGGCAGCAGAGCTCGGCAAGCATCCCTATCCTTACGGTAGGGTGATATTAAACTAGTGATGCAAATAACACCTGCATCTGCCAAGAGTTTTGCTACTTCACCTGAAAATTATTAGTCATGATGTTTGGCTATTAACAAATAATATAGCAAAAAACTTGGAAGATTGAGCGAATAACTTTTGTATATTGATATGTATATATGTAGTAACTCACCAATCCTTCGTATGTTCTCTGAACGATCTTCTGCTTTAAAACTAAGATCACGGTTTAGACCATGCCGAATATTGTCACCATCAAGGATGTAAGTTAGCTTTCCTCTGCGGTGCAAGCTTCGACTCAAAGCACATGCCAGAGTGCTCTTTCCTGAAATCAATGTCTAATACTGTAATTAATGAGACAGAGAGAGAGAGCAAGAAGTTCAGTGTTGAATATCATAGATACAAGAGGAAATGATAGTAATCCTTGTTGTATTAAACTACACAACATTGGTGCTATTATATAGCGAACCAATTGAAGAATACTAAGAGACACACTCAATGTGAGACTTCTACACTATTAACACTAACACTCTTAACACTCCCCCTCAAGCTGTAGCATATAGTTAATATGCTACAAGCTTGATACATAAATAATACTCCCATTAGGAACCAAAAACAACAATGCTACATCAACGAAATGAAATGACTAAGTACAACAAATCAACTGGAATGACCATCAGTGTGAAGAGCTGATAAAGAGATAGTGCTGGAATGGACATCAGAGCATGGATGGTGCCGGAATTATCATCGACAAAGACAACTGAGCTGACCAGGACATCAGCATCAAGATCCTTCTCAGACATTTCATTTAACAGTTTGTGAGCAACCGTGGTTTCCCCTTGACTATGCTACAAGCTTATTACAAGAAAGACCAAGTAACATAACATCAAAATAAATCTCCTAAATGAGAAACCAAAAATCAACAATGTGCTAAAAATGGCGTCGAAATGAACATCAACATGGAAGATGCCGAAATAATCATCGGCAAAGACAATTGTGCTGGAATGACCATCAGCAACATGGACGGTGCTCCCCCTCAAGAGGAACTTCTAAACAGTGCCAGAATTATCATCGGCAAAGACAGTTGTGCTGGAATGACCATCAGCAACATGGACAGTGCTCCCCCTCAAGAGGAACTTCTAAACAGTGCCGGAATTATCATCGGCAAAGACAGTTTTGCTGGAATGACCATCAGCAACATGGACAGTGCTCCCCATCAAGAGGAACTTCTAAACAGTGCCGGAATTATCATCGGCAAAGACAATTGTGCTGGAATGACCATCAGCAACATGAACAGTGCTCCCCCTCAAGAGGAACTTCTAAACAGTGCCGGAATTATCATCGGCAAAGACAATTGTGCTGGAATGACCATCAGCAACATGGACAGTGCTCCCCCTCAAGAGGAACTTCTAAACAGTGCCGAAATTATCATCGGCAAAGACAATTGTGCTGGAATGACCATCAGCAACATGGACAGTGCTCCCCCTTAAGATGGATGATGAATAGTATAAATACTCCATCTTGGGAAGAAAGAAGATTAAAGAAAAACAAAGCTTCGCGGAATCGAAAAAGTCGCCGGAGACGGCGGTGGGTCGTCGAAAAAGTCGTCGGAGACGGTAGTGGATCGCCGAAAAAGTCGCTGGGGACGGCTGTCAACAGCGGATGACGCGGTCAACGACAACGGTGGTCAACCCAACAACTTCCCAAGGATCATTCTTTTCTGATGTGACAGATCAGTCTAAGCTGCAGTCACAGAGCATACTAAGAAAAACCCGAAAAAGAAATAGCAACGGGAATCCCTCAAGGAGGGTGTTATCTCTCTATAACCATATTGAAATTATGGAAAATAGAACTAAGTTAAACGGATTAAGATTCCTTTTGTTGGGCTCTGATACCATGTTGAATATCATAGATACAAGAGGAAATGATAGTAATCCTTGTTGTATTAAACTACACAACATTGGTGCTATTATATAGCGAACCAATTGAAGAATACTAAGAGACACACTCAATGTGAGACTTCTACACTATTAACACTAACACTCTTAACATTCAGTTTTGATTTCACATGAATAAGTGCAACTAAAATTATCTCAAAGTCATATCCTAAAAGCTGAGAGTGAATAACAAAAGTATAGATCTCGGTTCAAAGGAAGACAAGCAAAAATTAGTGCAACATTATAACTAAGGACTTTTTAGTGCAAATAGATAATCTAACTATAAGAGAGATGATCAAACCACCTGATGGAATAATGATAGAAATATGTGTTCTGTTCTAACGTGCTTCTTCTGGATCAATATATAGTCTTGACCATTTATGTATTTTATCCTCTTTCACATGCATATATCAACTATTCAATGTCAGATATAAACAAAAATTTGAAAAGTCTGCGCTAGTTCTGTCACATAATAGCTCAGTTGCAGGGTAATTAGTGTGTTCATCATATGATCATATCAGGCAAAAACTTATCAACTGTGGTTGCATAGGTCAGAGCAAAGAAGCTGAGACGGGTACATAGGGAAGAAACGTAGCAGAGAATGATACATAGCAAACAAGACGATGCAGTATTTTAACTGTTTAGTTATACAACAATATGAGACATTATGAAAAAGGAGCATATACCAAAATGAATGCTCACTATTTCTGCTCTGCTTATAATGCATGACTACGGAAAAATCAAATCACCATTGGAATCCTGGAGGTATTTAAGACTGATAAATGGATTATTGAACATAATTGGGTATTTCAGCTTGATATCAATGAACTACAGCGAACATTTAGAAAAAGTGAGTATCTAAAAATTAACTGAATTTCACAAACCTGAACCACTGAGACCAGTTAACCAAATGACACAACCTTTTTGCTGAAGTAGTTGCTGTCTATCAAGTTTCTGGATTGGACATTCATGCCACAAAATGTTCGTCGATTTCCCAATATTTGACACCTCGCAGATATTTTTGCCTAGCTAGATAATAACAGGGTTAAAGATTTGAATTATCATTTTTTTAAAATTGTAATCGCATCGCTTAGAATTAGAAGCTAGACATTAACTGTTTTTTTTTTTTCTTGAAAAACAAAAGTTGTTAAGGGCCTGTAAGCAGCATATATGAACGCTTAAACAGTAATTCAGTGAAGTCCATTAGATTTCCAGTTTCAGTTCAAAAGGTTTTCCATAAAAAAAGAAATTCTCTGCTTTATATAACTTCCAGAAGAATCAGATCATTCAAGCCTTAAAACTTAAAAGATAAACAAGAAAAAAAAAAAAAAAAAAAGATTGTACAGGCTTACCACTCTTTTTACTACTAATTTAATTACGTTTATTTGGAAAATTACCTTGGACAGCAAAATCGGGTCTTCCTGATCAATAGATCACTAAAGATTTTATAGCAATAAAGGCATTGGTGAATAGATGTGGCGGTTCAAAGTTGATTGTTTAGCACGTGAGAATCTTAGACACGACTGTTGTAAAAATATTTTCATACATGGTACATCAGATCATTTAACTCTGTCATATCAGCCATGTCACTTATCATTGAGTGGTTGAACAGGACTTTATTGAAGAATTTCTGATTGAAAGAGCATAGATGGAAACGGACACGAAGCTACAAATTACTACACAGTCTTCAAAGGTTTCAAAACAGACAAGTCCAAGGTCGTGAACGATCTCATTCGACCCTACACTAATCTTCAGTATAGTAATGATTGATAAAAGCTAGTCGAAAAGTGTCTAACTCTAAGCATTTGTAAAAATCAAACAATGGAAAATACTCATGATATAAACAAAGAGCAACGAAAAGAAAGTACCGGAAAATGCAGCACAATAATCAGTAAAAGGCTTATTCACAGAAAGCCCCTGACATATAGGACTAGCGTCATCGGTAGGAGAGGCGCCACGGTCCTCCTTCGCCATAATCGGCTTCAACAAGCTCTTACAACTTCGGCCTAATCCAACGGCATTGATCCCGCAGAACTTCACAAACCCTAACTTCTCTGGCGCCGAATGTCTACATTCGACGTTCAGGAACAATCCACAACTACACGATGCACGCAGTGCTTGCACGGTGGTGCTCATCTCCGCCAGACGAAGAGGAATTAGTTGGTTAAATCAATATTATGATTAGTGTTTGAAAGAGAATGGGAGAAGGAGGTGTGGTACAATGCTCCAAAGGGCACAGGCTCCGTAACGGTTTCCAGTTTCACCTAATCTTGCATATCATGATTATTTGTATCATTGTATGAGCTGCCATGGACTATAAAGCTACGTGTCCACGCAAAGGTGAGAAATGACAAATGTTCATTTGAACCGTGAATGGGATCTGCAAAAGTAATGCGTGCCGCCACGTCAGAAATCACAATGGGATCTTCTTATTCAGGGAAAAGTTCAACAACAAAAAAATCCACATGCTGTTGCTTTCAATCACTTACATGACTGTACTTTTTTTAATCATTGTAATTTCTTGTAGTTTTTCTTCTTCTTTTTTGTTAGAAGATTAATTAAGTATATTTATTCTACTATTTTTAGAATAAAAAAATAAAGTGATTAAAAAAAATAAGATCAAATATTATAAAAATTTAGAACACTTAATAGAAAATTAAAAAATATTAAAAAATCAAATTTGTCGAAATAAAAAAATAAATATATAAAAAAAGAATATAGAATAAGAAAAAAAATAGAAAAATCAAATGATGATAGATTAATTGACGCATTAAAACTGATCAGGTAAGGATGAAAGCGTGTGTTCGATCCTTCACAGTACAATCTTTGGAAAGGATTTAAAACTTTAATTATGAACCTACCCTGAATAGAATTGTCTATCGTAGAAGATATCAGTGATTTATTCTCAAAAAAATAAAATCAAATATATTAAAAATCACAACAGTAATAGAAAAGACTAAAATTAAAAAATAATATACCAAAGACACAAAATTAAAAGAAAAATTTAAGATAAAAAATAAATGTTTCTAGTATATTTTGTTTTATTTTTTTAATTATTCTTTTTGTCATTCGTCTATTTTATTTTATTTTTTTTCTTGATTTTTTTTAGTCTTGTGTCACATCCACTCATCTAATGAAGATTTTTTAAAAAAAGAGGGAGAATGAAATAGAAATATAAAAAAGATCAAACATATCTAAATAGAAAGAACTAATAGACCACGGACAAAAAAATAAATAGAAAAAAAAATAAAAGCAAATATATTGAAAATTCATAGTTTCTTTTTCTCCTATTTTTTTCTTATTCTATTTTCTTTTTTAATTTAAAAACATTTGATTTATTTTTTTTACTATTTGTTTATTTTAGTCATCTATTAAGTATTCTAATTTTTCATAATTTTTTTGTCTTATTTTTTTTTCATTTTATATTTTTCTTTTAAGAAGAATAGAACCTGCATACTTAGTTAATTTTTTAATAGTGTTAAGAGAAGTATAAATAAAAAAATCACAGAAAATTAAATAATTAAAAAAAAGTATAAAGAGATAAGTAATTTAAAAGCATACTACACGTATTACCAAAAAAAAAGAAAATACTATACGAGAATTTTTGAACTTTTCTCTAATAATAATGTTCAAATTTGCGGTCCAGCGTTGTGTCACACTAAAAAGCAATTCGTGATATACGGCCACGTGTACCCGATTAAACTTCTTTATTACCGATTAGACAAAGTGCTGCGATTTGTGATAAAACTTTAAGGACGGGTTTGGTATAGATTTTATTTTGTGTTGATTTTTAGTATTTCAAAAAATCATTTGAGATATGATATTTTGAGATAGATGAGAAAGTGGAAAAATGAAGAAAAAGTTATGGATCAAATTGACCTTCATAGTGAGTGACTTCACTTCCACAAAAAATTTATAATTGGGTATTTTCGTCAATTTAACTTATTTTCTCATCATTATTTTACATTCAATCAAACATAGACTTTGCAAATTTATATAAAAATTTTCAGTAATATTTTGGTTAACCAAATAATTTTTTTTAAATTTTTCTATCAAAGTTACTATTTTACTATTTCTCCAGTAATTATATTTTTCTAATAAATTTTTTTTTTCATCTACCAAACATATATTCTAGAGATATTGCGGTTTGTCATTTTAATTTAGATGTAGATGCGGCATGGCTATGTACTTCCTTTAAGAAATGATAAAGTGATGAGATTGAGTGAGACACATAGCATGAGTTGTTGAGTTGAATCAATAATTATGATTTAAGTGGAAAGTTTGTTGTAAACCACAATCACTCACTCCGTGCTTGCTTTATCTTTTTTCCGCCGCCTGCTTTCTGTTCTCGCGATTGTGAAACGGGCAATTTTTTTTAGAGTAATTATCAAATACAAGTGTTTACGCACATGTTATTTTTTATTATATAATTTCAGTTAATTTTATTTTTTTATATGCTTAATTTAGGAATCTACTTTGATATTTTTAAAAACATAATATTGTATTATTTTAAAAAATTAGAAACTGGAAACAATATTTATAAATGAAATAATAGAAGTATGCAATTTTTATGAATTTATAACTTTTATTTTAAGTACGTAATTTTTTAAACATTTAATATGAAATTTATAATTTTAAAAAAGAGTCTAATGTTTTTTAAAACTAATTAATAAACTCCTTGAATTACCGTTTTACACGTACGTGCAGAGATGAGATTTCGAAAAGGATTTTATTTGTATCAAGTAACAGGACCAATTACTTTTTTTCCTGCTGATAGAGTGAGATATGGGTCCCACGCAAGAGAAAAATAAAAAAAATAAAGAAAACAGAAAACGCTGCTTTCGATGGGAGAGCAGCAAAAAAAACATGTTTACAGTAACATGACAATTGATTTTCCCTTTCGAAAAATATATAAATCATTTTTCTTTTGCAGCTTGCAAACCCCGACATTGTTTGTTGTTTTCTTTCACAGTTGTCCGACACGTATATTATGAACGATGAAAAACAGTGCTAAAGAGATTGATTTGACTGAAAAATCAATTATGATAAAGCGAATAATTCGTACTATTTTAAAATTAATAGAGTAAAATATCACTTAAGGTATATTTGTAATGTCAGCTGAGGACACTTTTGTAATAGCTCAAGTAAGGATTAGTTAGTGTGGAATTGATTCTGTTCAAACAGAATCAGTGACGTGTGTTAGCTTTGAATCATGTATATTTTAATGGGTTAAATTCTGATTTATTTGGGCTAGATGAAGTGTGATATGCAGGTATTTCAGCCAAAAAGAAAAACAATATGGCCCAATTTGAAAAAAGGTAAAAGAAAGGAAGTGAATGTAATTTTACTAATAAATTTCATTACCCAATGCTTGCATATGTTAAAAAAGAAGCACGTGACCAAGGTGATAAAAACAAAGAACAAATCTGGATCGTGGGATGAGAATAGGCATGGATGGACAACAATGCATTTTGAGGCAGCTCTTTAGTTTTTAGTTAAATAGGAGTCTGAGTCATTAGGGTCATAGAGAGAGAACTTTTCGTTTATTTTTCGTTTTCAGACTTCGCTCTTAGATTCTTGAATTTTTCTTAAGTGTTCGTTCTGTTCTTCAAAGTTCCAACATCAAGAGCAAGCGTGTAACTCCGTTCTTGGAGGGATCCAATACTCAGCTACATGCAAGCTCTACGTCTACATTTCCCTAGTCTAAGTTTTTCTATTTTTCTGACCATTGTAATTCTGGAATACTGGTTTGTTCCTAAACTGTTTTCTTTCTAAGTTGGTAATGCATGTTATTTTCAAGCTCATAATTTTTAGTTTCATTCATTGACAGCATGATCTTCTAAATTCTTTTTATGGGATTCAAGATGATTGGGTGATTCTTTATTTTTCTGAATATTGTAATGTGTGCTTTAGTTTCATTGGATTAGCAAAATTCTGATTTAAAGTTCAAGAAAACCATGGGAATAGATCTTGGAATATTTTTTGCATAATTGTGATTGGGAAATCAGGTTATGTTCTTTTGCTAATTGAACCCTTGAGGTTAGGGATAACCCAAGGAGATATTTGATATAATTTTTGAAGATTTAGAAGACTTTGGGAAAAGATCCTTCTAAAGATTAAAATCTGGAACTGAGAAGTTTCAGGTAAAATAGCCATAGTAGTTCAAATTCTGAGATTAAAGTGCCATAGCAGTTGTAAAACGTAGGAATGCGTATTTCTTTGAAAAATCCATGATTCAAGAATTCCAGTACCTTATCATTACTGAATTTGTGATTAGATATTTCTGTTAATTTTGTTTAATACAAGTCTGATAAATACCTTGCTTCATTTAGTCTTTTCTTAGTTTTAAAAGATTGATTACTTAAATTCAAGAAATTAGAAATAGGAATTAAAAAAAGAAAACTAAACAAGCCATTCCCTGAGAACGATAACTCTTTCTTTTGAAAAATTACTACCAACAACGTGTCATCAATGTATCTCTATAAAGCGCAACGTGTACAGTTCCTGATTCATTAAGAAAATATATGAAATACTTTAGCTTTCTCCCTCTTCAGCATTCTCTGAATGTCTTTTCTCTCGTTCATCTCTTTCTTCATTTCTTTTGATGGTATCAGATCTCTCTTCCTGAGGGCCTGATACGAACGTGTTCACCATGGCTTCCGCATCGCCATCTCTGTCACTGTCTTCCACCATAAACGCAACAGGAGAAGCTCGCTCTTCATTGTCTCCGTCACTGTTCAACCACACGATCTCAGTCAAGCTAACTGAGAGCAAATTTCTTCTGTGGAATCAGGTTGTAGAACCTGTCATCACTTCTCACCAACTCCACAAATTTCTTGTCAACCCTAAAGTTCCTCTACAGTACGAGTCAGAACAAGATCGAGAAAATGAAGCAATCAACCCTGCATAGACTGACTGGATCCGTTAGGATCAGATGCTCATTTCATGGATTTTGTCAACGATCTCCGAAGATATACTGAACGAGATCTTAGGAGTCAGTCATGCATACGAAGCATGGGACCAGATCCACAAGTTCTTCCAAGGAATGATGAGATCTAAAGCTCATCAACTTAGATCTGCTCTTCGAACCATGAAGAAAGGTGGAAGATCAGCTGCTGAGTATCTCAGACGTTTCAAATCACTGTGTGATGAACTGAAAGCTATCAAGAGTTCTGTATCCTTTGAAGAACAAACTAAAATAATCTTGGCTGGACTTCCTGCAGAGTTTAATCCTTTTGTCACATCTGTAAAAGCTCGTGAGAATCCTTACTCGATAAATGATTTGCGAGTTGAACTGATGTCCTATGAACAGATGCTAACAAAGCAGAATGAAACACTCCTTGCTGAATCAATGTCTGTGAATATTGTGCAAACAACTTCTGCTGATCAGAAGGACGAATCTGTACCTGGCAGAACTCCATTTGGTGTTATCCAGCAGAATCACGATCAAAAATTTCAAAGCCAAAGGGGTTTCAGTAGAGGAAGAGGAAGGTCATTTGTTCGTAACAACAGAAATAGCAGGGGTAGAGGACGCAACAACCTGCAATGTCAGCTTTGCTACAAATTTGGACATAGTGTTCAAAGCTGTTGGTACAGGTTTGATGAAAATTTTGCACTGAATCATCCTCACCTGAAGCTCCACACTATTTTCCAGTTACTCAACAATCTTTTCGAAGGCCACATCAGTATATTCGACCTCCTGCAAATCCTCCTCAAGTGCTGCTCACAGCAAATCAATTCACAACAAATCAACTTCAGAACACACTTCAACCACAGTGTAATGTTGCCTCACAGGGACAAGGAATCCTGCCAACTCCTCAAAATGTTCAAGCTATTGAGTGGTATCTGGACTCAGGAGCTTCTCATCATGTCACAACATATCCTCAAAATCTTCTACAAAGCACTCAGTTGTCAGGAGCAGATCAAGTCTACATAGGGAATGGCCAAGGTCTAAGGGTTAATGCTACTAGTTTATCCTCATTTCCCTCTCCTTTTAAACCACACACTCAACTACACCTTGACAATCTATTACTTGTACCTTCCATCACCAAGAACCTCATTAGTGTGAGTAAATTTGCCAGGGATAATGGAGTTTATTTTGAATTTCACCCCTTTACTTGTTGTGTAAAATCACAGGAATCTCATGAAGTGCTGTTGGAGAGTGACTTGGGTTCAGATGGCTTATATCGCTTCAAAGAAATCTGCCTCACTCCCAACTCAAGACAGAATTGTCATTCTACCTCACTGTCTCTTTATAATACACCTATAGGTCATAGTTCTATTTCTTCCAGTGTAAATTCAAAGTCTACAATAAATGTAACCTCTAGTCATCAGAAAGTTGTAGCTTCCTCATATATGTACTCCTCATGGCATTGTCGTTTAGGTCATCCTCGTACTGAGGCACTTAATTCTGTTTTGAAGTCTTGTAATCTCCCTATTCCAAATAAAAATGATGTTGAATTCTGCTCAGCTTGTTGTTTGGGTAAAATACATAGGTTACATTCTCCACCATCTACCACAGTTTATGAAAACCTTTTGACTTGATATTCAGTGATCTGTAGAGCTGTCAAAATGGGCCAACCCGGCCCGTTAGGCCCTAGCCCACGCGGGTTAGGGCAAAAAGGCCCGCAGGGCCAAAAAGCCCACTAACACAAAAGCTTGCATGGGCCAATAAATCTATATAGCCCTATGGGTTAGGGTCAACCCGTGGGCCAAAAAACAATTAATTAAAAAATTAATAAGTAACAAATAAATATTATATTTGATTTATCCAAAATTAAATACAACTAATGATAAAATGGTGTACTAGTATTACAAAAATAATTAAAAATAAGTAAATCATGTACCAAAAAATAAATAAAATAAATAAATTGATGGGTGTTATGGTCAATTGAGAAAAAGAACATGACTCGTCATAAAGGAGCTGCCAAACTATGAAATGTGCAGTTCCCAGCTTCATCGCCTTTATTACACGATTTTCGCGTTTCTTTTCCATCAATTTTAGATTCGCAGTGCTCGAAGATCTCGTTTTATGCCCTCAAACTCAATTCCCACGCAGATCTTCTTTGTCTTCCCTGAGGTGAGTAAAATTCACAGAACCTATTATCGAAAACGACAAGATAATCGCTGCGCTTCTCCAACGCAGTCATAGTTATGAAATTTGTGAGATGAGTTGTGTTATAATCGCTCGCTGAAAACTAGAGAGAATTTCCACCGGAGAGGATCAACATGAGAACCACAATCAGTCATGGCTAAAAGCCTAAAACGACGACGTCCCCTCACTATCATGTTAAAATGCCTCACTGAGGGCTGTCCGCGGGTTAGCCCGTCCCTACCCAATAATTAATGGGGCTATATGGGGCTGGGGCTAAAAAAAGCCCCCAACATATGTGTCTGGAATTTAGTAGGGCCAGATGCAGGGCTAAATGGGTTGTCCCACGGGCTTTGGCCCTATTTGACAGCTCTAGTGATCTATGGGGTCCTGCCCCTATGACATCTACTTTAGGCTTTACATACTATATACCCTTTGTGGATGCCCACTCCATATATACCTTGATTTACCCTTTGTGGTGTTGTATTATTCCCCCCCCCCCCCTCCCCTCCCCTCCCCCCTCTTTGGTAGTTTGAAGCCGATGTATACATTTGATATTACTTTTCCCTATGTGTTGGAAGTAAATTTCAAGCAGTAGTAAGCTAACAATTGCCTAATTGTATCAGTTTTGAGTTCCGTCTTCGGGTGTCTCTTACGACAGATGTCTCCCTAGGCAAATTTTGAGATATCCTGAAACAAACACCCCATAAGTGTTTCAATATATTTTAATTTATCCAGCATAGCGGACTATTATTATAAATTGGAATAAAGTAATAAAAAAAATTATATTTACAAACTTTATATTTATAAATTTTTTATTTATAAATTTTTTATTTACAAACTTTACTATATGGATGTGTTTGGTACAGGAGAAATTTTTTGGTGACCGGGAATCATGATTAATGGAAATTCAGTAGAAATTGAGTTTACTTGGAATCTTACGAAAGATGTGTTTGGTTCGCTAAAATATTACCGGGAATACTAGGTAAAAAATACTGATTCCATATCTGGTTTAGAACGAAATATGACTTGGAATATGAGGTTATTTTACAAAAATAACCCCAAACTATTTTTACTTTTGTAATTGATAGATTGGGTCTAGATTTTTATGTGTATTGGGGTATTTTTGTCTCAAAATTTATTGTTGTGCTTTCCCTTTACTTGGTATTCTGATTAGTATTCCGAATTACCATATTATTTTTGGTAATCTGAATAGTGACTTTTCTTTATAAATCAAATTACCGGTAATCCTTGAATATCCGGGAATCGTAATTTATTCCTTCTACCAAACGTGGTAATTACATTTACCAAAGAAGGATTACCGGTAATCCTCTCCAAAAACTTGAACCAAACACCCCCTATAGGTAATCCATGTTTGAGTAATATGTGAAATGAAGTAACAAAAAAGAAATAAATTATATTTATAAACTTTTTATTTATAAATTACACTACATACTATAGTTTGTAAAAGTTTACAAATATAACTATATTCATAAAAAAAAATATGAAGTTTATACCCAAAGATTCTCTCTCTCTCTCTCTCTCTTCAATTTCCCTTGCGTCTATACATTGGTGTTTTCATCACACATTCTCAACCTCCCGTGGTTGAAAATATCCTTTTTCGAGATTTAATCTAATGCCTTGGCATCTCAGAACAACAATTTAACGCTGCTGAACTTCTTCGCGACTAAAAATATTTGGGATTATAAGAGTCACATACCCAACTCCAAGAATCCGAAGATGGACTTCTTCGCGAATAACAATATAAACCCGCTACACAAACCCTCCCCAATTTCTGGCTATTTGTTACTTTACTTTAGAAATTTAACGAATTTCTTACTAAATTGGTGAACTTAGTAAAAGCGAACTTTTCAATTTAAATGACAAGTTGAATAAATGTTTGACAAAAATATAAACATGAAGGAAATTCAAATAACTTATATTCCAATAGACTCCAAACAAGGGGCATACAGCCCAACTCACGTGCCAAAGTAAGTGCCAAAGGACTATATAACCGCACCCCCAGCCCCCGAAGGGTATTTCTTTCGCCTCCCACAAGATTTTGAACCCAATACCTAGGGCTAAGAAAAAATGGGAAGCGTTAGTAACATCACTTGCCAAAACTTTATTTTGACAATTTGGTACCAAACCATTATAGAGACTGAAATTTAAGGACAAAATTGAACTGTCACAGTGGCGCTTTTCCATTCAATATCAACATTTGGAGTACAAATCTTAGTTTTTAAAGTCGAAACAGCAGATTAGTGACCAAGGAAAACAGTTAAGTGGCTAGTAACCATTTGCAAGTAAAACACGATGCTCACATCCTATCCCCCCCGCCGTTCTAATTCAAAATCAAATAATAACAAGCAATAGATACGCCAAAAAAACAAATAGTTACACAGTACTTTTAAGGTGGTGTTTGGCTTGAGGCTTTTTACAACTTTCCTATGCAAATGTGCTGAGGCTTCTTGAAATGTCGTGTTTGGTGAAGGGTGATTTACTCAAAAACCCATTCATCTAAGATGCATTGGTTTTTAAATTTTGGAACCGAAAGACAGCTTTATGTACTGTTTGGAAAGCTTTTTCGGAGATGGTTTTTTGTTAAAAAGCTGGTAATCTCACTGTTCACTCAAATTTTTCACTATATATTACCTCCAACCAAACATACATTTCCTAAAAATTACCTAATTTTTCCAGTAAAGTTTTTCCCCACCAAACTACTTTTTTTAACATTTTCCTATCTATCTCACTTTATCTCACTTTCTTATCATTTCCCTAGTATTCAAAAAATTTCTCCTCAACCAAACGCCCCCTAAGAGAAAAATCATTTCAACATTCTTCAAATGACTTTCACTTGTTAAATTGATCAAGGACTGAATATCCCACGGTGAGTAAAACAATAATGACATTAAACATCAAAGTAAGATCATAAGTACACAAAACATTGAATTCCAAGCAAATAACACTCAAAACATTCATAGTGACCACATGTCTCAAGGCTGGTCTAAATGTTATGCATTGTAGAATCACCAAAAAAAGTTCCATGCATCAGCAAGCACATCTTACGACCATCCTTGGTTTACTTGAGCAAAGGCATATAAGCTTTAGTGGAGGTGCATGATAATGATGAGGGGTTAAGGTAATTTACATGAGATCACTCTTTCAAACTTACATGTTACCATTGTAACAAAAATGAAAAACAGCACCATATCAAGCAAAACATTTACAACTCACTAGTACAGAAACAGGACAGTGATTGCACCGTGAATAAAAAAGATATCTCACATCAAATATGAACGCCAACTATTAGTTTAACCTAAAAGTGCTTGATTACATCTTCAATCCTATCCAATTTACATTTAAAAACAGTAGCCTAAAAGGTATTTAGATTTTTGTTTACTTTGCCCACAAATAATATTCAGTTCAAAAACAAAAAAAATGCGGTAATCTGAATAATGACAACAAGCAGAGCTCAATAGCAGGTGAAAATAGCAAAAAAGAATAAAATAAAAGAACAAGAAAGTAAGAAATATTACCAATAATAATAATAATGTCAAAACATTTCATTAAATCTAACAAAACGGAAAGGCCTCAAAATAATTGAACCGTTCAGATCCAAACCAGAAGACCCTCAAAGTACCAACCGAAAAGAAAAACATAGCACAACACTAATAACCGAGTTCGAGTCCAAATTTTGGCAGTAACAACAAAAAGTAGTAATTAAAAGAAAATTATGAAGAAAATATCACCAACTAATCGACGGTCTGCATGATATCTTCGGGAGCGAACTTGGTTCCCTTTTCTTTGTCGGCGGCGGCACGACCCTTAGCCTTGCGATCGAGCAAGGACTTGCGGTCCTTATCCATTCGGATCTTGGTGATCACAACTTTGGAAGGGTGGATCCCGACGTTGACCGTTGACCCGTTAACCTTCTCACGGGTAATACGCTCGATGTGGATGACCCACTTGCGGCGATAAACCTGAACCACTTTCCCTTCGCGTCCCTTGTAGGTTCCTCTCACCACCTGCACCTCGTCCTCTTTCCGAACCGGCAACGACCTCACGTTGTACTTCGAACGCAGGTCGCTTGACAGCGGCGCGCTCATCAGCACACGGCGGACGCTCGACGGCGCCGTGAAATGTGCCTTGCGGCTCTTGCGCCGGCTACTAGAAACCCTTGGATTGAACTTCATTCTCTCTCTCTCTCTCTCTCTCACTGAAAGAAGGGTTTTCTGTTTTCTTATTAACCCTGCTTTGTGACGGCAAGGAGAATGAGTGTATATGAAAACTGAAACCTAGGGTTTTCAGTTTAGGCTCTTTTTTTCATTTTTAAATTAAATTTTTTAATTGCTTATTTTCTGCGTGCTCTTGGATTGGGTCCTGCATCTACAACTAAAGCTAGCCCAATTTGACTCAAGCTTCACGAGGACGTGTTGCATTGGGCCTGCAGGTCTATGTGCGACCGACGAATTCAGATCCAATTTAAATATATATATATATATATATATATATATATATATATATATATATATATATATATTTTTAGAAAGTTTTAATGAAAAAAAAATCGAACTATTGGTGTTTTTAAAAAACATATATAAAAAATATTGATGTTTTAAGTTAAAATAATTTTTAATCCAAATTTTAACTTGTACAGGTTCTTCTGCATTCTTTCCTTTTTTTCCTTTTCCTTTTGAATATATCCATGTCTTTTTGTAATTGGTGATAAATATTTAATCAGGTATTTCATTTACTAATGAAATATAAATGGAAAAGTATTTGTCATTTTAAATAACACAATTTTTTTCAATATAAAATAAACAAGTTATTTTTGAATTTGTATTTTTTAATAAATAAGTTGTATAACCAAATAGTAATCGTTAATTTTTTAGACTAGGGTGTAAATGTGTCAGGTTAGGCCAAATTTTGACTTTGATAGCCTAAGTCTATGTAAAATATTTAGAGCTTATACTGGTTTATTAACTTATTAAAGGCTTAATTTATAGGTCTGACATGACTTATTATAAAAAAAACTAAAATGTCTAACCAGTGGCGGAGCCAGGCTCCAACAGGAGCCCGGGCCAAAAAATTATATGTGTATTTATTTTTCTTAATTTTAATTAGTTCATATTATAATATATTTAAATTATATTAAATACAAAACACCTGAGCAGACAGTATCAAAAAGAGTTATAATTTTATTAAATATTTTTTAATTTTATTAAATATATTTAAATTTTTTTATATAAGTGAAAATAGAACACCTAACTTAATACAACTTTCCCAAATTTCTCTCCAAATATATTTTATTTTTTGATAGGGCCTAATCATAAATTTTAGCGGGCTAAATTATAATTATACATAATAAGTACAATTTGTTAAAATTTAGCTCGGGCCGATGCCACCCCCAGCCAACATGTGGCTCTGCCACTGTGTCTAACACGACCTATAAGGCCTACGGAGTTGAAACTAAAGTTTATATAGGCCAAGTTGGAACTAAAGTTTATAGATCAAAACCAAACTAAAATTATAAAATATAAAATTTCTTATTCACAAAGATCATAAAAAATAATATTTTCATTAGCAACACATGAAAGAATGATCATAAAGATCACATGAAAAATTTATATATATATATATATATAGTTCGTTTTTACTGCAGTTAATGCAGATAAGTTATCTGCAGTAACCCAATATGACGTCTGTTTGGGACGAAAATCATGGTGTTTTTGTAATTTTAATTTATCGCAGGGTTATAATAGTCTTTATATTTATAATTTTTTAAGATTTCAATATTAAAACGACGTCATTTTAGGAATATATGCAGATAACTTATCTGCATTAACTGCAGAAATATTTTTCCTATATATATATAGGGGTAAACATTTATACAGTCACTTTAGATAAGGTTATCTATAACTACCCCAAAAACTACGTCGTTTTGATTAATGAAGGGCGTTTATATAATTTTAGGTGAATTAATGAGGGGTGTTTTCGTAATTTTATTTAATTTTTTATCATATATATTTTACTGAAACACCCTACATTAATTCACCTAAAATTACATAAACAGCCTTCCTTAATCAAAACGACGTAGTTTTTGGGTAGATGTAGATAACATTATCTAAAATGGATGTAGAAATGTATATATCACTTTCTTTACTAAGTTAATTTAATATTATATTTTAAATTTTAAATAAATATTTATTATTTATTAAAATAACATTAATTCTATTACTTTGAAAATTAATGTTACTAATCATGATCTCAGAATATATTTTTAAGTGAACAATATATATCACAAATATTTTATTTTATTAAAAAAATAAAAAGCTAGCATGCAAGCTTTTAGGCCAAGCTTTTTAAAGGGGGCTATGTCCTAATTTTTAAATGAACTTTTCTCAAAACCGAAACATGTTCTATTTAGAAAATAGAGTAGGTCAGATCAGGCCTAAAGTAGGCCAGACTATAGGCTATTTCCATTTACACTCTTACTTGAGAGTACAGGTGTAAATAGGTTTTGGATTAAATAGGTCAAGAATGTATAAAAAACCTTATGTCTAGGTTGACCTGTTAGTCTGTGTGGGTCCAAATTATAAGTATGGTCTATTTGACCTATATTTAAAAAATAGGAGCCTTAGCCTAAGCCTGTTTAAACCTATCAAACATTCAATAATTAAAAAATAACTAAATTAACATTATTTTTTTATTCAAAATTATTAAAATTGTAATTTTATTTTATTTATTTTAAATAAATAATATGATGTTTACCAAAAATAAATAAATAAATAATATGATATAAGTTAGCATGTAAGCTTATAGGTCTGATATGTATAAAAAAATATATGACTTGCTTTCTAAATAATTTTTTTTTTTAAAGTTTAAGCATATTCTATTTGACTATTTTTAATGGGCCAAATGTAACTTAATATAGACTAGGTCGGCCTAGCCCATTTACGGTTAAGAGTATTAATCCCTTAACAACAAAGGAAGTTGAAGAAATTTCCTATATAAAATCTATATTAATTTTAAAATATAGCAAGTGTTTAGCACATTCTCAATTAAAAAATAAAATTTCTCAAAACAGTCACAACACTTACATCAATTTGTACTTTCACCGACCAAAATAATAATAGAGTTGTAATATTTTTTAAATAAACTTGTATTGAATAAAAACAAATATATTTATATTTAATTTAATCTAAAACGTATCGTGATATTAATTCTCTAATTTAAGAATAAATATAATCTTCCTTAATTTTAAAAATTATAAATTAAATAAATAAACTTGAGTTTTGTAGACACTCGGTGGACATTTAAAGATGCTAAACTTGTGAAGGAAGGGTAAGCTTATGTTTCGTAACAAAATTTGCAAAAATTGATAAGTTCATACAAATTCTTCAAAATTAAAGGTGACTGAAATCATAGTAGATTAATCCATGGGTTGTCTCAGAATTTGGGGAATAGATGCATTTAAGTGAGTCATGTATCTCTAAATTAAGTGGGTAGAGAATCTAACACAAGAACACTGAAAATTTATCCATACTGCACAACAGCCATACTGCAGAACTGTAGAAGAACAAAATTGTTCCGGTATGTGAAAAAACCATGCATCAGAAAATAATATTGAACATAGAATTTTAAGAAAAGCACACAGGATAAAAATCCTCTTAGAGAACAGGACTTCCATATCTCAGAATGTCTACTACAACGTCAGAAGGAAAGCATAAAATTCAATAAAAAATGGGAAACAAAAGTCATTGGTTGATTCCAAGTTAATGATATTTCATCCATTCATGAAGAACCTGGAAACACTCTTCTGCGGAACTAATTATTCTGCCCTCCCTTCAAGGGCCACCAAAAAAAATTGAATGTAGTTTGGAATACCATCATGCGTTCTACAAATAGAGAAAAACCCTCAAGGTTTGAGGGCAATGGCCAACCCAAACCTGGGATTTTTATCCAGGGCCTTGGTATCAACCTCACCAGAAATAGTCAGGACTGACTTTGGTATCACCTCATGCTGCAGGAGAGCCCCAAGCTTTCCATGATTGTTGAGCCTTGCTTTGACCTGTGTCAGATGGTCAATAGCAAAAGATCCTCCAACTGTGAAAGTGTTCTCATTTGTTGAGAACCTTCTAGTGATCTCTGCAACGGCAGCACTCTTCTTAAATTGGTCGAGGTGATGGAGGTATGACGCTTTGATGCTGTCACCCTTGTCGCCACTGAAAAAAGAAAACAAGTTAAACATCAATTTGACAGCTTTCAACATGATTGCCATTGCAAGAGATTTGGAACATGAATCTTATTTACATGTAAAAGAAGCTTACAGGATTATTGAAGCAGATGAATCGGGTTTTGAGACACTAATCCCAGCAGTGTATTTAGTAAAGCCACCAGATGTAGTATCATAGCCTGCCTCAGCACCAAATGCAATGGTTGGGGTACCGACGATGGCAGAAACATCAATGATAGGGGATTGGTTCAGTGCAACAGCTGTTGTTAAGGTAGCATGGTCATGGAAGTATTGAACCTCTAACTGCCAAAGATAAATCAGACAAGTTTTCAGAAACAATGAAAGGCAGTTGGTCAAATTTCCCAACCAAAAGATGCAAACTTATGTACCTTGCCAGAATTATAATCAGGCAGCTTAAATGAAGCAATAGTCTTGGTAGATGGAAGAATGTCAGTGAATGTGAGGGTTGTGGAGATCTGTCAAAAAAAGAGAGTAAACAAATAAGATGATTTACTCAAGATCATACACTATTATAATCTAAAAAGACAAAGTAACCTACAATTGATGCTGTGTCAAGTTTGACATCAATAATAGTGTTCTTATACTTGTACAGGGCTGCTATATCCCCAGTTGAGAGTCCTCCTTTTTTCACAGCTGTTGAAGTGAGGGCCTGCAGCAGAAAAAGGAAGAAATCGTATTGAAATGAACATTAGGGATTTTTTGCTCCATGCAAATGATCTCAAGTGACGACATGCACTGTCACACATACTTAGCATTACAAAAGCCACCATGAAAACCAGAAATTACAGTAGCAAGACACGAATTTAAAATGAACATATAATTTCCAGTCACATGAAACTTTGAGAAAAACTTAGAACTGTTAATAGATGACCACCTTCCAATATAAATAAATAAATAAATAAAACTGTTAACAAGATGTTAAGCATCAGCTTCAATACATCCATTACAATACTACATTTAGAATAAACTCTTAGTCATGCATGGTAGGTTATTGTTGATTATTGAAAGTTTTTGTGCTTATTACTAAAAATGGGATAACAATAAAGTAAATGAATTAATGAACACAACATTAACTGCATTCAGATACAACCCAACTTAAGAAAAGCCTTCGTTGCTATTAAGACGTGTCCTTTATCCCCAAACCCTCGGACAATAAACATGCAGTTTGCAACAGGCTAGAAGAAATTCCAAAAGGAATTATGAAAATACACAATTAACAGCAGCACTAATCATTTGGTGTTTCAAACGTACTAAGTGGCCCATACAAGAAGCTGTCAACATTTATGAATTCAACATAAACTTCCATTAGAGAAGTCAAGAGATCATTAGTGCACTTTGTCAATCTTACATTATCGTATTAGTTTACAAGGGATTAAGTCTATACCCTCTACCCAAATCTCACTCACCTTTACCCCAGTGATCAATCTTACATTACCTAGGCCTTAATTATATACTTTCAATTACTCAGATCTTCACAAATCAAAATTCAACCATCAAACAACTTTTCTCAACCTCTGCAGTCTATTATCAGCTTTTTTTTCATGACCTTTGGTACGTACAAATGTGGCGTTTCCAATCACCATATAGTTTATTGGTAAAGGTGCACAACTTATTTGATAGTTTCTAATGCCTATCACACAACTACAAAAGCTTGTCATTATGTCAACTCGTAAAAAACAATTCATCAGTTTAAATGGTAGATAACAGAATTCAGAACCCGAGTCTGAAAGGCATGAAAATGGTAACACCTGCGAGATAACTTTCATCAGTAATGACTATCGAATATCCGCTTTTAAAACATTTTCTAAATTGATTTCACCTATGGATCTAAATTTCTTCTATTTCTGATTCCCAACACCCATCCAAGGGCAATGCTATATCTTGCACCATTAGATTTGACTCCGGGTCATGCTACTTATTACATCAAAGCCATTCTGCACAAGTCTACATACAATCCAATTGGCTCTACATCAGAAGAGTACGAGCCCATGGAATATCCTAAATTTCTTTTTCTTTTTTTATTTGCAGTGATAAATTTGTCTATAGAATACGAATTAACTTAACGTACTAACAATGTAATCTGAAACAGGCTCAATATACAAATAAAAATACGTAACCTCAAGTGAAATAATTTTTCGGAGGCAATTTCATGATCCATTTAAAAATAAACCAACAAAAGACGTAATGAGGCTTTGAGAGGAACGGTCAATAGACATCATCAACCTCAAAAGCGAACAAATTAATTGCCATGTATAGCATCACACTAGATCCTGACCACAAATCCAGTAGACCTCACAAACAAGAATGTAAACTAAGGTAAATATATAAGAACAGATTGGTTATAACGAAATTTCGAAGAGCGTACCACTCCGGCGCCGCTGTAGGAGGAAACGGTGAGTTTCTGATCGGAGCTATAATCCTTAGTCAAAAGATCTACGAGCAACAACAAATCAAAATTATTGAAGTTATTTTTTGATTTTGGCTTCGAGAAAGTGATGTCGAATCAAAAACATAGATAGTGAGAGATAGAGCGAAGGATAATAGAGAGCATGTTCTTTCACCTTTGGCTTTCTTGCCGATATCGGAGAATAGACCCGGTCCCTTGCTCATTTTCGATTTCGTAGAGAGAGAGAGAGAGAGATCTTGACGCACTGAGCTTCACGATCACGAAGCAGGGTGTGGCGAGGAAATGATGCTTCTTTTTTCTTTTTTTCACATTGTTATTTTAAATGTAAAATAATATTATGTAGAATCGCCAATCTGGATGGTCGAAGTGGTTGTGTCATATCGTGCGCATTACGACGAATCTATGGTGATCCCGGTCGATTTTAGCCGTTGATTTTGGAAGCGAATATGACGCGCGGACCCATCGTGCCAGCACTGCCTCTTCCTTTGATCTGATTTTCAGGGTCCATGTATAATCGTTCGTTAACTTATGTCTTTGCCACGGCAAATGGTCGTGATTCTACGTAAGTGATTCAAATGTTAATCACATTTTTATGGTCAATATATACATCGACTTATTTTTCTCCCAATAAAATTAATGTTTTTTAGATTTTTAGATAAAAATCACTTCTAAGTTCTAAGTGTGTCAATATTTAAAAAATGGAAAAAACTATTCTTATGTCACATGATATAAGTTTTCTCTCCTACACACTCTTTTATAACTGTGTCACTTTTTTTTTTATTTTTTCAGGTGGTGGAGCCCACTAATTTATCTCTATGACATGAGATAATTATCTCCTTTAACATGAGATTAATAAAACCCTTAAACAATAGGTAAATGTTGTTGAAGTATAAATTATAAGTAATTTCATAAGTAAATCAATAATAATGTTCAACAATGTCCATTCAAGAACATGATACAGGATCTTTAGAATTCATGATTTTCACATAAGAGTGTACCTTTCTCCATTAGTGCGGAAGAACTTTGATGGTGGAATGCCTTTCTCAGAGTCTTGACCATTTTCTCTACTTGTATATTCTTTGACAGTGATTGGATACAACCACGATGGGCAGACAATGAAGGAGAGTTTCTCTGGAGATACTATTCTCAGAAAACTACCAAAAACTCTTATAATAACTGAACCTGTCACCAGTTATTTATTCATAAATAACTTCCCAACTCCCTTAAACTGTCAATTACCATTATGCCCCTTTTATTAATTAAATTAACTGACACATAATATTACACATGAGACAAATAGTTTTACATAATTTACAAAAAAAAAAAAAAAATAGTTTTACATAAATATAATATTAAATTATGACGATATTATTATTTAAAAAAAATTATGACGATATTTTTTGTCAAATTATATGCAACTGGAATTTTTTCTTTGTTGTAATTTGCTAACCGGACTTCAAAACCATGGTTTTGATGCACAATTGGTTTTACTCTAATAATGTCAAACATATTAGCACAAATTTCAAACTACATTGGGCATTGGCATCCCGAAAACTTCATAGCTTGAAAATAGCTTTTCAAACAAGCTCTCATAGCTAAAATATGAGAAATAACTTTGAAAAATAGTTTTAAAAACTTATATATATTTACGGGTTTAATATCTCTTATGTTTAGAAGATAATTTTATCTCCTACACAAACATAAAAGTGTGTGGGGTCAATGTGGGGTCATGTGAGAAGAAAAGAGAAAAAAAAAAAATATGAACTCCACAATTTTTTATGTGTATATAGGAGATATAATTTTATCGTATAACGTAAAAAATATTATTTCCTATATTTATTCTTGTAAATGACACAAATTGTGTCCTTTAAATAAAATTACAATATTATATTACAATATTGAGGAAGGTTATACTTACAACTTTTTTTTTTACAACCTCTTACAACCATATTTTATCACCGTTGATTTCCGTCAATCAACAGTTATTATTTATGGTGAATTAATAATTAATTAATGAGTTTAATCTGCTAAAATAATAACCGTTGATTAGCGAAAATCAACGGTAATAAGATATAGTTGTAAGAGGTTGTAAGAAAAAAAAGGTTGTAACTATAACCTTGCTCTATAATATTTAACTAATTATTTTTTTATTTATCGTAAGTTGTTATTTTTTGAAAGGAAGATTCACATGTGAGTCATGGGACAAATTTAATTTGACTAATGGTCCATTTAATACAACATAATATGATATTTAATAATAGGAAAAAGTTTAGAAATTATTCTATAGTTTCTCTGTGAATCATTTGCCCCTCTTATATATTTTTTTTTATCACTTACTCTTATGCTTTAATCCATCTTAACACGCTTAGAAATTTAATAATAGGGTTTTATTAATGTTATGTTACTTAACTTAATTTTTGTTTCCAATACACACAACAAAAAGGGAGAGAGAAAGTGAAATGATGAAAGAGAAAGAAAAATATGTGAACCCCGCCTCTTTAATGTGTGTGTAGAAAAGTGAAGTCGTGTTATATTACATGATAAACATAAAACTCTTAATAATATGTCTATTTTACCTTTCTTTGAAACTTGCTAGCCTCATTTGTTGTGAATTTAATACAATGATATACCTTTTATAATAATTCCTAATGCATTCCTTTCATTAAATAATTAATTTGCTTCTATAGAGCCATTGTATTTAATAAAATTAAAAATATTAGATCTAATAAAAATTTCTTTATTTTACAAAATCTAATTTCTTGTTCCAGTTTCTTTTACTTAATTTCATTTTACAGCCCACACTATGACAAACTATTCCTAAATTGTATTAGAAAATTTAAACCAGTTCATTAAATTAATTTCAATTAATAAAACATTACATATAGTAAAGCTCTATACCACACAAAAACTCGATATCTAAGTATACCAAAAAAGTAAAAAAATTAAAACTAATACGTGTCTAGCAAATTGAAAATTGAATCAATGTGACTAATGGTTATTGGTTTATTTAAAAAAAATGTCTTCAATGGATTGTTTTAGTTTTTATTGGTGTGGCTAAAATAAGTATCATAGTTCATTTTAAAATTCTAGTCCAATCAACACTATATTAGAAAAAAATGTAGGACTCATTCAAGAAATAATCCAATTGCACAAAGAGCTATACATAAACGATCGCATCGTGCTTTTTTTTTTTTTTTTTTTGCATCCACAATACTTCGTATATTTATATATCCAAAACATTAAAAAAAATCAATACTAACCTTCCATAGCTAAAATAAAAATATCACTCATAGATTAAAATAAAAGACCTAATACTTTTAGATCTCAGTTTCAAGTTGTAAAGTATAAACAAAATTGAATAATATGGGATGTTAATTGAAATCGAATACAGGAGAAATTTAGTTGTATCGTAAGAAACCCTTGCAAAAGCTTAGGAAAATAAGATGATACGTAAGATAGCTGAATTGTTTTTGTAAGAAGGGTAAAATGGACAGATTAATTAAGTTTCAAAAGGCGTTAAGAATAGACTTAGATGAAAAAAAACATAGGACTCACTGTTACAATGAAGGGTTAGCCCAAACGGGCCGTATCCCGAGGGCATGGTGCCCGGAGAAGGTTGAATGGAGATATCTCCTGGCAATGTACCAAAAAAAAAAACATAGGGGATAAGTGATTAAAAAAATAGAGAGACAAATGTGTAATATTTTAAATTAAAATAATAATAATAAATATAATATAAAATATCTTAAATAATTAGCAAAATATCTTAGATATTTAGAATAAAATATCTTAGATTTTTATAAACGTAATGATTAAGATTCCTTATATATTTATAAAAGTGATGATTAGATTCCTTATATTTTTATAAACGTAATGGTTAAGAATCCTTAGATATCTATAAAGGTAATGATTAGATTCTTTTGATTTTTATAAAAAGTAATGATTACATTCCTTTTTCAAATTCTATATAACTCCCCTATAGGTGTAAATGGGCTAGGCCGGCTTACAGGGGCCTACGGCCTAACCTATATTAGACTAGACTTGGCCTTTTATAAATAGTAAAATAGAACAGGCCTAGGCTCGTAAGAAAACCTATTTAGAAAGCATGCTATAGATTTTTTTGTACATGTCAGGCCTATAAGCCTTCAGGTCGGCCTATATTATATTATTTATTTTAAATAAAATTATTATTTTAATAATTTTGAATAATAAATTATTATTATTTTAGTTATTCTTTTAATTGTTGAATGTTTAATATGCTTAAACACGCTAAAAAGCCTAGGCCAAGGCTTTTATTTTTTAAATATAGGTCATGTCATACTTGTAATTTGAGATCTAAACAGGCTAACAAGCTAGGTCATACATATTTTTTTTTTATACAGACCTAGCCTATTTAAGTCAAAGCCTAGCATAGCATAGCCCATTTACACCCCTCCCCCTTATGAAACTTAAGAAGAAAAGAGAGAGAGAGAGACAGACAGACAGAGAAAGAAAGAAGAAAAAAGAAAGGGAAAGTAGTATTGGGAGTAAACAACTCATTCTCTCTTTTACTTTTAAAGTTAATTTTTAGATATTTTAGAAGGATTTTATTAGTCTCATTTTACATAAGATAATTATCTTATGTTATAGAGAGAAAATGAATGGGTCCCACCATTTTAAGAAAAAAGAAAAAGGTAGAGTGCAAAAATCGAAGTGAAAGAACATGAGAAAAGTCATCTTGTGTGAAAGGAGAGTAATATTTCCTATTTTAGAAAGCTATGTTGTTTTGTTGTTATCTATGTTATGTTTAAAGTTGGTATTTTAAAGTCATTTCTTTAAAAGTTGTGAAAATGTCGTTACTCTGCTAAAATTATTTTATGAATTCTTTCTACTATTTTACTTTATTTTTTTATATTTGGCTTTGTGAATTTGATGAATTTACTTATATTATATACGAGAATGATCTTGAATCAAATTTATAGAAATTAAAGAGTTTCTTTGGTACCAAATGAATACTAATGGAATATATAATCTTTTACTGAATGATTCTGATGTGACTGACCCACAAGGGGATCAGAATGGTTATAAGGTAAGAGACGTTTTATCATGGCTTGAGCTCCGCCATACAGAACATTTAACATACAGAACCCACAGAATTTAGGCGCTGCATAATTGAGCATTAGTCATTTCAGTTAAAGATTACACGTTCTTATATATGTTTGTATACAGAAACCCATAAAAGTTTGGGTAAAACCCACAAAGGTTTGGGTATAGCTAAATGAAGAATCCACAAAGGTCTGAGCTTATATTTATTATTTATGATATTATTTTCTTA